TACGGATGTGAGAAGCTTTTTTATGTTTAGTGATTTGATAAGGGTGATGTGGTGTTTTAGATCGTTATTAGTTGATGTTAATGAGTTTTGGGGTGAGTGGTTTGATATGACATTTTCAAAATATGTTGAGGGTTGGGAGATAAGATTGGGAAAGGTTTGAGAAGAGGAAGGATCAGAGGCTTGTTGATTTTGCTGAGTCCGAGTCTTTTGCAGTTTGTTTAGTTGCCCTTGTTTCATCACTCTGGCTAATGTCGTGTAAGGGCATATTTGTTCAAAAGCATGGTGACAGCACATTCCAGTTTAAAGTTTGGTTTTGTCACGGACATTATTCAATCGAGTGTGGTCGGGCACAATGTACACAAACAGGTGCTCTCCTGCAGTAGGCTTTAGTGTGGTAGAAGTGTTGGCAATTCCGACTCTGTGGTTGTCTTCAGGTTTAACACTGTAGCGTCCTATAAGTCGTAATTTTGTTTTGTTGTCAGGGATGCTCTTCTTGTTGACCTCAATGACGTAAATGCCAAGGGGTAGTAGTCTTCCTTCGTTTGTCCGTTTCAACATTTAAGTTAGGTGGTGTTGGGTGATGTTCAATCTTTTTTGGTCAGTTTTGATGTTGTACAGGGGGTAGTTTGGTGGCAGTCCTTTGATAATTAGTTTGCCTCTGGTTTCCAAGGTTGCTCTGTTAAAATGGTAGTTGATGGTTGAAATGAAGTATAGCACTTTTAATTTGGGGTCGTGCCTCAGGTTCTGGAGTATCTCGTCTAGTTTGTCGTGAGCCAGAATGTTTTTTTTCTGTTGAATCTAAGTTGTGTTTGCGTACATTTTACTGTCATCTGGTTATTTACGTGCTTCATCAAGCCTGAGATCAGTCCGTTGTGGTCAGTAATTCTATTCAGGTCCAGTCTGAACATTCCGATTAGTCTTCTGGCGATTGCTGTTGAATATGCTACCAGTGATGGTGGTGGTGGTGGAATTTGGGGAACGGATTGGTTTGAAGGTTGAGGTGGGTCAGGAGTGTTCTGAGATTTCAGAGGGTCGAAGCTGTTTTTGGAAATGAATGGTGGAGGTTGTAGGTTGGTTGGGGTTGCACATGTGCGTTTTGCCTCAATGAAGCCATCGTCGTGGGATAAGGAAGAGGGATGGGAGGGATCCCCATATGGTTTCAGGTTTACGCTTATGAACCAAGCCGGTTCGCCCGGCTGCAATATCACCGTCCTGGTGCATAGTGCCTATCACGTCTTCATCAGCTGCTGCTTCCTTCGTGATGGCGAGCGGTCGAGCGCTTGTTAAAGCGTCGGTGCCTGCGCGGTGCCAGACTTCCTGCTTCAAGCGAGGTCCGTTTGCAATACGTTACACTAGTTAAGTGCTCTTATAAACGGGCCGACAACAGTGTGGGCCTAAATGGAGTGCCAAAATGACGTAAACTTCGTACTTTATGTTTGACTTTAACAATAAAGAATCAAGTGATGAAGTTCAATTAGTAGTCGCAACAGAAGGAGTTAGGAGTAGCAGTGGGAGTAGAAGCAGGAGTGGTGATGGTGGTTGTTTCGCGTTGCTCGTGCGATTTTTCTAATCGTGCCCCTGCCTGGTGAGCCATTCTACGTCAAATCAAACACCGTTTTGACCTTAGGTGTTCGAAATTGATTGAAAGTTCTTGAATGTGTTCTGAAGGTAACTAAAAGAGGCTTAAATGTTTTTGTTATAATTTAACTTAATTATTTTGGAATTTATATCGCATGAAATTTTCCGAAAACACGTGCGCACCAACAAATAAAAATGCTTAATTGCCCTGCCACATTGATCGTACTGAACTGAGATTAGTCGCAAATAAAGCTCTAACCAGTTATTTAAGATTATTTATAGTTCGATTTAATTTTTTAAATATCAATAACTCATTTATTTAAAAATTATTTATAAAAATGTCAATTTTCCAAATTTCGCAAACAATTTTTTTAATACTATATTCTCAGTTTAATAAACTACAAATGTGCAAAATTTCAAATTGTGATATTTATAAATAACATATTTAAAAAATATTAATTCAACGCGTGCGCAGCCATATTGTGTACTGCTGGGATGTTTCAATATTAGTAATACTTCGAACAGTAGAGATCGGAATGAAACGTGGAGTAGAATAATCTTCAAATATTTTTAAATGTCTTGGTACGACTACAGGCTATTTTTAAACCTTTAGCTTCGGAAGAATGTTTTTCTTTTCTATTATTGGCAACTGGCTCTGAAAATCGAAGCCATCATTCTGTGATCGGCGGACCCAGCGCGGGCAATTCATACTGCTCTACCTGACTTAAACAAAGAGGTCCTTCTTCGAAATTCAGATGAGCGCCCTCGTCAAGGTTTCTGCTAGTATTTGTTTAACTTTTCGTGAATTCGGTTTCGCTATAGCCACGTCAGGACGACACACATACTGTACTGTCCGGCAAATCCAATTTTATTTGTTATAGTTGGTTGGGTTTATGTGCAGCAAGTGTAAACAGTGTTTACTGCAGGTTTTACATAATTGTGTCAGACTGTTAACACCGTGAGTTAGTTTAAAATAAAAGTAAGAAGAAGACCAAAAGATTGGCTTCGCGAGAAAATCGGTGGCCATTTCATGATACAATTATGACACCACAGAAATTAATTCGAGAGGGCAAAAATGTTAGCGGTATTTACTTTATATTTTTGACAATTGATGACTAGAAAAAATAATGTGACTAATTGAAATCCCGGTATGAAAAAGTGAAACTAGTTATACAATAATACACTTTCGTGCATCTATTATTTTATAAACTTTTGTAAAATGTATATTGAATGAATGAATATGAACTTCAACTACTCATTCCTAACATTCTCATTTTAATGATAAATAGACTGAGTGCACTTGACTTCATAGAGAGCGAACTTGGATGCCGCTCATGCCGGATGTTCGATTGTGAAGGTTAATTTATTGCAACTGTATTTATTTATTTCTCATTCTGAAATTTTTGCACAATCATACAATAAAAGGTAGTAAAAAAACGCGTGAAAGTTAGATTTTGCTATTAGAATGTATATACACAAAGTTTCACAAAATATCAAGGTCAATTTTTTCGTCGAATTCCTTCGATTTGACGTGGAATGACTCGGGTATCAGCTACTGACTGTTTTATTCCGGTATCAACGTCACCATAGTGGCACGGCACTATTAGAAAAATCGCACTGTGGGAAGCCTCGGTTTCCCCTTCTCATCTCACATTTTTCTGCGTCTCGACTTTTATGTGCCTCGTGGTAGGCACTGTCCTCCGTGGTAAAGTACTGTCTCGTGATTCGAGGAGTAAGTCGGGATGATTCTGGCGTCTGTTTAGCAAGTCTGTTCTCAAGTAACAAAACGGGCTGAGTTCGCTCGGCCTAACCACTGTTGCCACGGCAGCGACTCTGACCTGGAGGTCCTATGGTCCGAGTCCCGACGGTGGCGGATTTTTCGACTAGCTCAAATTCAGCCTCTGCTTGTAGAAGAATACTAGCGGCCGGCTCCCCTGATCGGTAGTTTCCTGTTGTTTCTTCGATCAATACAGTGACTGCGCACGATCTTTCCTTCCTCATCGTTTTCCCCACCTCCTTTTACACACACACATACTTACATGCACTACATTACTACATATGTCGGGAGATCAATCGGGTGCGTGCAGCTTGTCTTGATTGGGGCGTTACACCGTGGAGGTGGTTACCTGGCTGGAGAGCGAACCTCCCAGCCAGCCGACTTGTAGGTCGGCGCCGGATCTTACTTTCCAGCTGAGGAAGAACACCACTACCTTCCTGTATATAACAAGCGCAGTACGTGTAGGACTGATGATAATAGTAGTTGATGCGCCAAATAATCATTCTAAGTAATAAAGATCTCAGTGTACTCTTGATATTGTACGTAGCATAAGTCATGTCCATGGCTTTATTGTGAGCGTACTGCAGTGAAATATATTCAGATACGGCGCATTATGGCTCGTGTGCACTTGTCGAAGAAAGTCGTCTGTCATGGTCGAATTAAGGATCGCGTTCGCCAGTTTTCTGACAATGTGAGACCAGCAATACCGGGAGACGACTGAGAAGGATGGATCATAAATGTTCTATTGTGTGTGCCGCCTTGAACACGCGGGGCATCCGTTCCTTCGTGACGGTCGGAAGTAAGTCGGTGTAGCCGTCGGTGGCCCCTCGCATCCTTCGGTGCAGCCGGGCCGGTCTTTGTACGATAATTTTCGTAAAATATAATTTTATTAATATTTCTGATGGCACGTACCGTTACAATGGTTCGTGAAGAAATGAGGTTGATTATGGATCATCTGAATGAATGGTAAAGAGGTGAATGAGATGATTAAACGATTGTGTAAGAAATTAATGTCATCATCCAGAAACCTCAATGCCACTGACCATACTCTAACTATTTTATTGTCGTAGTTCCTGCCTTTGAATTACGGTTGGCTAATGGTGCACTTACCTTCGCCAACATTAATACGAAATCTTGTGTTTGTGATCTGATTAAACATTCCCTTTTAGAGCCGATGAAAATTACTTTTTTAAAAATATAAAATGGAAAACTTGTGTGAAATAACCATTGAATGCTGAGTTACACATTTATTATTAGTTAAATCCAACACAAACAGAGAAGTTTGCTAAAATAAGTAGAAAATTAATTTTGTCTCTGAGAGTTGGCATAGATATAAAAAAAACAGTATTTAGAAACATGAAACAACATTTTTGAAATTAATAGCACAGAAATGTTAAGGTGAAGGTTACAATATGGTTTTAATGTGAGGAAATTGTGTCAGCTATGACCTGTTTTAAGAAGTTCTTGTCATGACTGTGAATTTAAATTCATGTATGCTTTTATAGAAAAAAGCTCTGTGTAATTATTTTATTTTTATATATTAATATGATTTTTTTAAAATGTGATCTTAGGCCTATTTATATGATTGTTTATGACATTACAGTATTAGGCTACAAATGAAAATGTTATCTTTTTTTATTTTCAGCGACACATTGAAGCTGCTGGGGATGCTTTGAAACAATGTATGTCAGTATGCAATAAATATAGGAGGAAGAACACAATATCTGAAACAATTGGAAAAATTGTTAAGAAACCAAATTATGACACTTACACCCCAGGTAATTAATTTCTTTCAAATCTCTTCTTTTTTATGAATTGTTTCTTGTGAATTAGTTGTAAGTACTGTAATTTATTTCAGTAATTCTTCCTTTGCTTACTTTCTGAATTTGTGCTATGAATATTTTCTAACTAAGATGTTGTTTCTGCTAAGTCTTTTGCGTGTTAAATACAAATGCATTGGGAATCAAGTAAGCAAATAATTTTAGTCAGTGGCAGTCATCGGTTCAGTCTCTCTTTATGTGCTTTACTTTGGCATAAACACTGTGACAGATTGATGTTCACTATCCTTTTTGTCAGAACCAAATATAAAATCATGGTCTACTTGAATCAGTGCATGTTTATCCAGAATGATATTTTTCATTTTTCAACCTCCAGAGCAATAAATTGTGAGAAATGTAATTGAAAAAATATATCTTAATTTTTTTAGTGAAAATGTTTATCTTTAAGTACCTCACTCTTGCTTGGTTTTGAATATTATATTATTTTTTGAAATGAAAGGAGTCAAATAACATTTAACATGTGAATACTACAGATACATTAATGGTGTAGTGTAGAGCTAGTTGATCATTTTCTTTTCTTTATAATGTGCAGTTCTATTCTGGATTGCTGTGAGTTAGCATTATATGTATTTTTGATGTATATTATTTATACAAAAGGCAATTGGGCCTTTATATTGCAGATACTGTAGTACTGTAGGTCATAATCTTAAAGGGACCAAATATACGAGAGGTATTAAAAAAGAAAACGTACTTTTGCTATAACATCTTTATTGCTCATTGTACAACATTTTAAGAACTGACCCCCTGCAAAGTAGTGCAATCTACTGGCAATACACCATTCCCAACGTTTCGTCATTTTGGAAAGACTCCTGGAATGGCGCGCAGGTCTCTTGTCGTATTGACCCGAATCTCTTCTATGCTTTGGAAACGTAATCCTTTCAACGTGGATTTTTGTTTGGGAGAAAAAAAAACTGCTGGGGCTAGGTCCGGAGTTACGGTGTATGGATACAACGGGAGTGAGTTTTTGCAACAAAGCTGCGGAAAAGGAGCGACGCTTGGGCCGGCGCATTGTCGTGATGCAAAATCTGATTTTCCCAGAATTCAGGCCTCTTCCGGCGCACAGCATCCTTCAAACGCGCTAGAATTCCTTGGTAGACTTTGTTTACCGTCTAACCACATGGTACAAATTCATGATGGACAAAAACTTTGCAGTCAAAAAACACAACCAAGCGTCACTTAAATCTTTGACCGACTTATGTGTTTGTTTTTATCGACGAGGAGACCTTTCGCCCACTCACGGTGATGACAGCTCCTTCATTTCCATATCGTAGCCTTTACCCCACGTCTATTCGCCTGCTATAATGTTCTCGAAGAAGTTCTCACTGCAATTAGCAGTGGCAAGCAGTTCCTGGCTGATTTCAGTACGGGTTTTTGATCGTCTGTCAACGAATCGCGGAACGAATTTTGCACTGACATGACTTATCTCAAGTTTGTTACTCAAAATTGATGGCATGATCCTAAGCTGATGCCCACTTTGCCACTAACTTGTCTAACAGTTAAGCGACGATTTCCTGGAATTATAGCATGAACTCTCTCGACATGGTCATCAACAGTTTGAAGATGGAAGGTCGTCCAGGCACCGACCAATATTTTAATTGCTCCGCTCCGCTCCGTAATCCGCTCATAACACTGCGGGCGACTCGTACAATCCTCCCTGTACCCTTGGCTGAGCAGTTGAAATGTCTGTAAAAGATTTGCCAAGTTTGGAGCAACAGTTCACACACACGTTGTTCTTCAAGTTACTTAGGCACTAATTCGACGATGACCTTGTGCACGTGTACACTTCAGCAGCTGTAGCTCGGCGACTAAGGCCATAGCGAATTGAGGCAAATGGCAATTTGTTGTGCGCTCCCACTCAGCCAATTGGCTTCCTATTTCAGAAGTTCGGTTTTATTTTGATCCCCCTACGTATTCTATCGTTATATACAGTGGTGTACCCGGGGGGGGGGGAGGATGTTCATCTTCAAGAGGCATAAAGAAATATAGCTTTTTTTCTAATTTTTAAACCACCACCTTCCATTTTTTTTAAATCGCTCAAAACCACCGTGAAATTGCAGATTGTAAATTTGAAGGCGTTTTTGTGATTAACAACTGGAGGGTGGTGGCGCAATTCTCGCTTCAGTTTCAGATTCAGTGCATCGACATACATACAGAAACATGTGTCAAGTCTTCGGGTCTAACAACAACAACAAAAAAACAAAAATAAAAATCCAATTTCATGATGGCTATTTGCCATTTAAAAAAATTGTGAGTGGGATTTTTTTTCCTTTTTCTCCTTTTTTTCTCTCTTTTTTTCCCCCCTTTGTAAATTAATGGTTTTTAAAATTCAATTGTATTTTAAATGTTGAAACAAATTTTAAATTCAAAATAGTAATAATAGAAAAATGGATAAAAATATAATGTAAATATTTTATTTTCAAACAATATGTAAAGTATATAAAATGAAAATAATGCTGGGGGAGCCTGTAACCCCTAGAGGATGCATCCCCAGGTGCCGGATAGGAGAATGCTCCCTGATAAGGGTGGTAGGAAGGAAATGAAATAACTCTTATGGACGATAAGGTATTGCTGCCTTGCAGTTGAGATTTGTGCTGTTAAAGGCTAGAAAAAGCAACAATGCGTTCCTGGAAAAATGTAGTGTTATGAAACACAATTAGCCTCAGAGAGAACAGTTAAGTATGCTGACTAGGCACAGAATAAAGGGAAATGTAAAATTGTTTTTACCAAAAATAAATTCAATTCATTTAGAATAATGCTTACCTTTAATTTAAAAAATAGTCCCCTCTAAATAATTTCTGATGTTGCTTATGATGTAGAGTAACAAGGACTATGATTATGATAAATTAATGTATTTGAGTACTATGAATAATCATTTTCCATTCAGCCTAAGACTTTGTAATGAAGTGTGGCAATACTTGAAATGGCTTACAATCAAAATTGTTTTCAAATGTTTGCATTTTTCTTTTTCCAGAGGAAATCCATGCTGAGTTATGTTTTGCAGAGGCATTGTTGTTAAAATCAATGCTTACATTTATGGAGGATGAAACACTAGTCAGTTTTATTAAAGCTGGTCTGAAAATCCGTTCATGTTTTAATTCCTACAAGTAAGTCATTTAAGTGATGAGACGATGTTTGGATGTCTCAAAGTTTTTTCTTCACAAAATGTCTGTCTGTCCATGTGGGAAGAAGATCTGAGAAAATCATTTCATTAAAACCTCTTTATATTTGAAAATTGCTAAAGTTCAAATTCTTTTCAACACCCTTCCGCAACTAAATATTGAAGACAGAGATTTCTTTCTTAATGGAATCTATCCCCAATACTAAATCTTTAAATCATTTTGTGTACATTTGTTTCTTTATAGAGCACAATACACTAAATTGAATTGCAGAAATGCCAATTTCATTTAAATTTCTGAATTTTCAAAAAATATAAATGCAATTTTTAGGGGGTCTCTTCACCATTGTTTTGTTAAGAGTTTTGAAAAGAAGAGTGAAATGTTATTGCAATATTGCAATTTTCAGTAATATAAGAAAATATGCCCTGTTGTTAGTCCAGTAGTTTATATTATCTTATTTATCAAAGTTAGTTTGTGCTTGATTTTATTATGACAGATGACTATAATGTTAAAGCTGTAACTGTGATTTTGCCAGGGAATGTATGACAATTCTGAAATCTCGAAACTGGTCAAATGAATCCCATAAGGTACACTTTGAAGGAGGTGTGCGAATGGGAATTGGAGCATTTAATCTGGTGAGTAATATGTTATAAACTGTTCATGGGATAATTAATGTACCACTAATTTGTATTCCATATTCTGAAGACCCTCTAGGATTACATAATAATTTTAAGCTGGAAGATTATTGGCAGAAGAGAGATCTCGTGAATAGGTGCTGGTCGTGAGTAGGGGCTGGATAATTATTTAAATACACATTTTCCTAAGTTCACTCTCTCAAATCATATCAACAAAATGTTCACATTTGATTAGTGCCTAAAAATGTTGACTTTTTAATACATATATTTACATATTTTACTCAGAAGTACACATTTTTACATATTTCTGCATAATTCTATTTCCTGCATTTTTTGGGAGTGTAAATTTTCATTTATCTTCTATAGTTTTAATTGAGAATCACCCAGATAAACAATTCAGCATTGTCAAACCCCTTTTTTCTGCAGCATTCTCTTGAAAATAGCACTATTGCATCTTGTTGAAATGATGGGTGGTATTACAAAACAAAATGGTAAGGCATCTATGCATTCTATAACTTCCAGTGTGTTAGTTTTCAGCATGAGTATCTCAGAGAACAGATTACAGGTCAGAAAGGTCGTTGGCATCGAGAAAATGAATAGCTGGTGAGACCTCGACCCTGACACTGACACTGACCCTGACCCCGATCCCGGCCCCCTTTCCCGGAAACAATACACATCAATGCAGCTCAGGAGGTGCCGTTGTCAATTTTTCTTTCCCCATTTGACACTCGCGAGCCTTCACTATTACTTATAAATTATGTATTTTGAGCGAAAATCTGAAGTAAAATCAGGATGTAGCACAGTATAACTTTTTAAAACAAGAAAGAACAGTGAATAATTTATAGCGATTGGATTAAACCATGTGATGTGTTGGAGGGTAACACAGAGTGAGAATTTTTCATAGGCAATGTACTATAAATCTTTTCAGAGCAATTCAGCAATAGCACTTCCTGTAAGAACATTATTAAAGAAAGTGGAATTTGTGCTATCTAAGAATCAAGATTGAAATCTTGACCATTGTTTTTATTCCCTAATCCGTGAGGAACATTTAACAGTGACTTTGTGGATTCAGTTTATAATCTGAATACATGTTAATGTATATTGTACTTAATAAGGCCAAGGAAAAAATCCACAAGAAAAAACTCCCCTATTTGTATATTGAAAGCAATGAATTTAATTTCCTTGGATATTGACGATGGTCTTATCTGGGTATCAATTAATGAAACAACTGATGTGTAAGAAATATTGTGAATGTTGTAATAGGTTTATTGAATGGTGAAACTGTAAGTCTATTTTGTGTTTCCCAAATGCAACCACCAAACTATTGCAAAACTGTTTAATGATGCAAAGGGACTTTTGTGGCATGATAAATATAGTAATGTCTTCCTTCAGGTGACTAATGCAGCACTGTTCAAGTGCAAGGCAGTAGAAGTCCAGCAGGTGTTGTATCCAGAATAATTACATCTAATCTGTCTTGTACATGCATTTAATTGTGTTGCAAATCTAATTAGATCTTCGATTGATAGTTATGACATTGATTTCCAATATATGAAAAGTATTCCTGAAGGCTCACAGCAGGGTAGATGCATTTAATGACCTTCTGAGCCTCTTTCTCTCCAACCTGTATTAACGAGATGTGGCACCTAGATAGATGCTGTTAGCTATTATGCACAAAATGTTGATGTTGTAAAACACGTTATACAGTGGACAATTTTATTAAGTGGATTGTTTTCTTTCCAGCCAATCACAGTGGTCAACTCATAGCATTTGTGATTGAATGACCTTAAAACCATGAAATGTAGTAATGTGACTTTAGTTTTTTTGTGTCTATTCCACTTGGAAAATGTAGCCATTATCAGGAGCTTGTTGGTACCAAAACTGCTGCTAATGATCAAATGTTTGTTATTATTTCCTAACACTAACAAGACTTCACCATCATTGTCCAATCAGAACAAATTTGAATACATTTTTTCAATCGTGTTTACTGAACTGTCACCTCTTGACGGTTCTTAAACATTTGCTTCCATTGTATTGTGAAAGTTGTGTTCAATTTATATTGAGAAAAATGATTGTACAAAACATTATATCAGGTCATTGCAAATATCCATAGAGCCTAGCAATGTGTGGGAGTAACATGTAGTGCGTAACTCTTTCTTGCATATGTATGAACACTTCATTTTTAAATTGGGTATAATTAAAAAGAGACCAGTTTATAAGATATATTTGTTATCTGTTAAACTAGTTTGCATGTGAACAAAAATTTAATAGTACATATTCCATTAATCACATTAAAGTGATATTATTGGATGGGTTTTTGAAACAATGATTTTTTTTTTTTTTTTAACAGATGATTTCCTTGCTGCCAGCCAGAGCAATTAAATTATTGGAGTTCATAGGATTTTCTGGAAGTAGGGTAAGTGAATGCGATTTTTTGAATATATATTGATATGTCTTAAATGATAATTACCAACTAAAAAACTACTTCAAATTCTTTAATGAATTTGAGAATTGCACTTCTGCACTTCGTTTTGTTTTTACATATATTCAGTTTTGTTTGGAAAGTTAAAAAAACTTAATGTTTTTAAAGCTGAAACTAATTTCTTAATCTCTATGCTGTATAAAACTGTTGTGTGTTATTTAGTGGAGTGTATTTTTTGTAGTAAATGTGTTAGTAGTTTGCATGATAGTTTTGAAAAAGTGTGTTAATTTTTTATATGATCAACTAACAATTATGTAAGAATAGAAAATGTACTTTATCATAAATTATTGTGGACAATAAGAACATATGAAATGGAATTTGGTTTTTTGTCATGCCTTTTGTTTTTATTAGAAATAGTATAACGATTTTCCAAGATAACACAAGTGAAACTTTGCTCTGAGCCTTCACTGTACATTTAGTACAGTTTTCATCTTGCATTACTTGTAAAAATAAATTCTCATTTTCTCTGCAAACCCAAGCCTCTCATATATTTTTATTTGTTCATTTTTGATGTGATAATTAATGTCATTAGATTAATAACTTTTCCATCACTATTATTTTTAGGAATAACTTTTGCTATCATATTTTTGAGCTAGGTCTTCATTAATGTCTTCTGTAAAATTGGTTTCATAATTTTATGATAATACAAAAAAGTTCTTTGTGTGACCAAGTCTGCTTCTTTCTCAAAATAGTACATGGCCAACTAGAAATAATTTTAGTCGGCTGTGATTATAACAGTATAGAACATGAAATGTATTGCAATCTTTCATTTTTGATTTATCAATCTTTTGACAAAACTGTGTATTCTGCATGAATATACATTTTATATATTTCAATATTTATTGGTCTTTGTGTTCTATATTTAATTGTCATAAGTAAATCATTCGAAATTCAAAAATCAAATTCTTATGATGTGTATAAAAAGCTATATCTTAATAAACTAAAATACCACACATTAAACAGTTTCATAATCATTTTTAAAAACAGAGTTTACCTAAAAATCGCCTACGACATTTTTATCTAAATTCTATTTATTCAGAATGCTTTTTTAATGAAGTGACAAACTATTACAGGTGGTCCTAAAAGGTATGTAATGTGTGACTCGGGGACGTAGCTTAAAGAAAGTAGCAACAGCTAAGAAATTGTTCATATATCACAAAATGAATAGAAATACAAATTAAAGGAATAATGGTATTGTAGGGATTAAGAGAAGCTGAGGATATTAGTAAGTAAATAAATAATAAAAAGAATACATTAGTTAATCAATCAATAAATGAACAAAAGTCTATGCATAAATCATAGTAATTCACAAATCTGCACAGACATCATAGTAATTCACTGTGCTTAGGTAAAGTGTAGCAAAATAGCATCTACTAATATGTAATGTAATATGTAATAAAACATAAGTGAACCATTTCCTGAACTTAACCTAGCACAACAATACGCCTACTTTCTCTGAGAACTAAAGATCAGCCTTGCATTCACATTCTTTCTGCTTTAGGAAATAATGCTTTCATTCACACTGGCATCACATTTAAACCAAATACTGTACTGTGAATATTGTAGCCAAACAATCTGAATACACCATGTGAATCTCAGCTTAGTTGTTCTCACCGGTCAAACATAGGTCTGCATTTAAGCAAGAATACATGCGGCCATGGAGGAAAAGTAGACAAAATGAGGCTCTTATCTCAGCGACCTCACTTATCTCAGAAACCAAGGCATTAAAAAAGATATGTCATGACAAAAAAAACAACAAAAATTCACTGGTGACATAATGACATATACAACACTTAATAACTTCAGAACGAAAGCAGATAGCGAAAAACACTTTTGGTGATTTCTCTCTAAAAACTGGTTTTAACTAGAACTACATTGACACACATACTTTCAAGGACCATCCTGTTTTTTACAGTTGTCTTATTAAAGTGAAGGCTTGAAAGTTGTGATAATAAATAAAATACATATAAAACAAAAATTTATGAAACAAAACTATTTTTAAATGCATCAAAATTACTTGTTTATATAATTTAATTTATTATGTACGGCAAATGTACCTAATTGGTATTTTCATAATAATGTTATTCCTGCTTATGACAAGAATATCAAATTACTATAGGTTCAGTAAGCAAGGAAGATAAAATTTCAGTTAAGAACTTTTTTATATGAACTACGATAGTAATGGTATTGTAAAATATAAAACAAAAGTAATTTATTTAAAGCTCATAATATTCTCAAGAATATTAGCTGTCTATTGATTGTAAAGTTAATTCATGGAAGTTAGTGGATTGTTTAGGTCTTGTACTTCTTTTTATTTGATAAGTTTTACATTCTTAAAAATAAACAATAGAGCAGTATCACAGCATCTCAAAATGACATGTTTTCACTTTTTGATTGTGTAATATTGTCTACAGAGTCTTGGTCTACGTGAGCTGGAGGCTGGTTATAAATTACAAAACAGTCTTCGCCAAGTACTCAGTGTAATGACACTTTTAGGATATCATTTAATAGTGGTTTATGTTCTGAGTCACACTGAGGGTGATCTAGATTTCTGTGATGAAATTTTGCGTGGTCAGATGCAGGTATTATATGCTCAGTCTTATTTGTGTACTTTACATACATGTAGAATTACATTGACGTGCATGCTAAATGTTTTTTGTCACTTTGCTTTATTCCAGTTGTACCCAGATGGGGTTTGGTTTCTCTTCTTTAAAGGTCGCCTGGAGTTCATGAAGGGTAATATTGATGAATCAATTTCATGGTACACACGATCATGGCAATCACAAAATATATGGCCTCAGTTTCATCATCTTTGTTTTTGGGAGCTCATGTGGACAAATTGGTAATTCATCTGTTGTGATTATTAATTTTAGAAGTAGGCTATTTATCTAGTGTGAACTTACTTAAAGGTCAACAGTTGTTTAGAGAAATCATGTACCTATTACACTGTATTGTTCTTGCTTCGCTTGGAAATAATCCTTTCAGTTTCTGCCTGTCATAGAATATTCTGTTCTGTCCCACTGCATTGCCACCCTTGTTTGATGTTGTAATATTTAGATTCCCTATCTTCAGTAGCTTTCATAATAAAAACTTCAAAAGTCATTATTTTACTTCTTTCGAGTCTATTGACCTTCTTTGGCCGTAGTTTTTACTTGAAGAGAGCTTTAATGGCATTAATATTTTTTTTCTTTCTGTTTTTACAGCTCTGACTTCCGCTTTATATTTTGTGCTTGTATTGTTAAATCTACCAGAAGTGATTCCTTCTGTGAATTTTTCTTCATAAGGTTAGATTTTTAGGTAGGAAATGCAATGTTTTCATGATTTATAGCTAAAAGTTGCAAAATATAGACTGTGGTGACTGGTTTACTTGAACACGTTGCTGCATGTTCAATAACTTCTTACTTTTGTAACTAACAACTTGGTACATCTTTGTGTTTGTGTTTGAGTGACATTTATATGTTTATTATTGTTTGTGTTTTTATTTTGCAGAAAATGTTAATCCTTAGTTTGTAATAACATGTGTACTCGATACTTGTTCAGCTTTTTGAATCAACCACTTTTCTTCGTTTTGTTTTTCATCTCTCAGTCTCTCATGTTCAAAGTTAGAAAAATAATTTTCTTTTTCTTTTAATTGTAAAAATGTTTTTTTTTCAATTATATTATTTTAAAATTATTTTGACTTTCAGATAAGTATTCTTTAATTTAAGAATTTAAGATAAAGTTCTGTTCCGTTTCCTTAATTTCTTAAACAGCTTCAAATAATTCCATCTTACTCTTTTATTTCTCCAACAATGTTGAAAAAATTCAACTATAGGTTAGCAAATAATTGAATTTCATTTAGTTTATCTCATAGTTTGAAATATGCAACGAATGTTGAAAACTAGTTAAAACAAACAATAATCTCAAAGTTTTTACTTAATGATGAAAAATTTTAAGTCCTTTAGTTGTACAAATAGAAGTTTATTTTCAGAAATACTACAGTTTTCACTGTTATTTTAGATATTTGTTCTTGTAACTATTGGTAATCACCATAGATTGTGAAAACATGCTAGAACATTATATCAGCAGATATATAAAGCTAAAAAGAAAAGTAAACAAACTGCCCAAATTATTGTTTTTCTTAACACACACGCTAATGTAGTGTCTCATACTTTGGCCAAGGAATTAAATGTTACCCAATATGAGTTGGTAGGTACAAAGTGACTCAGAATAAATGTTACTTCTAGAGTATTTAGAGTAATATGGGAGGGTTGATGCTTTTTTTTACCAATGACCGGGAGGCAACGCATCCTATGTTTATACTTGGCAGCAAAGTGAACCCTCATGAAACGATATATAATACTGAGGCTGTTGAGGCTGCGAAACATTGCTTAGATGAACTGGGAGAGCATTAATAGAAATTTCAATAAGAAGTTTTGTGCATCGCCTTCTGTGTTTTCATCAGACGAGAAAGTTTTGGGAAAAAAGCGACATATAATTGACAAAGATTATTACTTTGCCAGAAGAATCGATGAGTATTGAAGAGATTTTCATAGTTACTTCTGTCTGGACGAAAATAAAAGTTCTCCTTACGAATTTCTCGTCATTCATGCCTTCTGCTTTTTCGCTCAACGCCTCAGAGCGCTGTTTGAAGAAAACTACACGATAATTGCTTACTGCCAACGTCCCATATGCTTATTTCTTAGCTCCTCGGCACGATCGTTACAAAAATGGTCGCGGCTCCTTGAGCCTAGAGCGGATAGAGCCATTACGTGGTCAGCAAGTTTCTTTGTTTCAGGAGCCACAGAGGCATTGGGCGGTAACTTCAGAGGATTGTTCTATCCTTTCCTTCCTTGGGGATTGGGATGATAATGGCTAGCGCTAATTCTCAGGAATGGTATGCTCAAGTGAAATCCGTTTGAAGTGGCGAAGGAGGAAATCTCGAGCTTTTTCCTTTGGACGCTTTAACATTTCGTGTAGCGCGAGCAAGGGTAAAGGAAAATTCTTTCGTGAAATAAGGAACGTTATAATCTTCCTTCAGATCGCCCGAAAAACGCAGTGTGCAGCTCTCCAATTTTCTCATAGTATAAAAAAAGCTCGAGGAGCAGAACTGGAAATGTTCTCGTAGTGGGAAGTCAGTTCTTCAACTTTATATCTTCTCGGAAGGTGAAAACCCGTTTTCCAGCAACTACGAATCAGAGAGGAAGTCTTCCTCTGATTTGTCGTACCATACTTACTTTAGAGGCAGTGCGGCTAGAAAGTTATGAAATATAGTCTCCCTGGGTCTAGCTCACGCTCATTTTTTCTAATTGATCAAATTTGCCGTGGTGGGATGCCTACCTAGCTTCGCCAGTGCCCGCTTCTGTTCACGTACCGCGGTGGCACAGTCGGCATTGCACCATGGCACAGGGGGATGTTGTGGTCGACATACCGTCGGGATTGCAATGGTGGTCGCATGGACGGCATCGGTGAGGTGGGCAGCCATGGAATCGATATCGTTGGGACAATTATCGGATATTGCATTTCTTTACCGAATGTAACCCAATCAGCGCGGTGGATTAGCTAAAGAAATGGGCGGCCAACATTCAAATCCGGAATATTGAAATGTACCAGGGAAATGGTCAGTTCCGTGCAGGTCATCAAGGTCAGTCCACTCGAAGATAGTAGATAGAAATGGACTTCAGAGCGACAAATCGACGACCCAGAACGTGTTCAAAGCCACGGAAGTGTAATGTATATAATTCAGAAGATTTTGAACAATGCTGTTGGTCAATAATATTGTGAAGAAATGTACCTCTAAGGCAGGTTCTCAAGTACCCCAGGTGAGATTGTGGGCATTGAAGTCCCCAGCGATGCGAAAAGACGAGGGTAGCATACATATATTTTCGAGTTCTTGGTGAAACGGCAATATGCATCGGTAAATTAATTATTTATTTTTTGTTACTGCTAACAAAATAGCAGCACACACCCGCTCTACTTTTATTACAAGTGGCCAAAAGAAAGATCTCAACAAAACGTGCGCATAGTGAAGCTACATCTATGTTGAAATGAAACTATTATTATGAACGAAAACTAGGAATATCTCAGCATTTGTTCAAAGAATCAGGGAAACTGGGCCAAATACCCGATTGAAATGGGGCTGGTTGACCCAGAAGCTGCAGTACATTACTTGTTTCCTGCGTATTTAGCCCTTTTAAAATTATACAATACAAATGTGTACTAATGCATTTTATGTCATTGTGCAGTAAAAAATGTTCACTAATGTATGATACAGTATCGTAGTTAAAATATTTTTTTTCGTTTTGACTCTTTTTGTATAGAAACAGTTCTACAATAGAAGGAAACATTTTACTTGCCAATAATTGCATTCCACTGTGCGTTTTGATTTTAATGGTTTAATGTAATCGGGAAATGTGTAGCATAGTAAAGTACATTATTGTATGTGGATTTCTTGCAGTCAAATGTTAAGACACATTTGATGAATGATTCCTAATATGTGTGTTGTAATTGTAAATATTTGTATTGAAAGAAAATACGTTATCACGCCTAAGAAAGTTTGGGAAAAAACTACATATTTGTAAATAATTAGACAAGGCCATAGTAAGATTTCAAGTTCAATGAAAATAGTCTTGCTGGAAACACGTTGATGGCAATTGTTTATTATTCCTACATTTATCTGCAATCCAAAAGTCTGAGTACTATAGAATGTGCTTCCGCAGAATATTGTGCCAAATCTCAGGTGGAAATGTTGGTTCAATATTCCTAAAATATACGCAATGAAGATTGGCGGAATTTGAAAGAATTTTGTTTGCGTATCATATCTGACTTAATTTTGTGTTTGATTCATTTATATGGATATACTATTTGAGGTTTGACTGAATTGAGAGACCGAAATTTTGTTAATAAGCTTGCACTTGTGATTGCGTGTTTGAAACGGAAAACTGCATTGAAACAGTTTTTCCTTTGTTTACTATTAATTGGTTATTACGAAACGAATATAAGGACTTAACCAAAGGTTCACGTTGGTCCGCATTTGTTCCCAGCGTCATTCTCGCTCACAGCCTCTTGAATCGCTCTCAAATATTGTGTGTTCAGCTGATTTGCGGAGTAAATCGGAGAGTATGTACTCTAGAGTAAAATAACCCTCTAGAAGCATGGTGAAACGCTCATATTCTACTCGAGAGTTACTATCTTGGAGTAAATGGTTACTCTCGGGTAACAACTCTCAACTTTACTCACCTGTTGGTGAAACCAGCCCTAAGTAAGAGTGTATCCAATCTCAGGCAATACTATAAATTCCATACGAAGGTAAATTTGAAAGAATTTTTTAAAAAAAAAATGTTATGTCTAGTTTGACGCATGGCGTCTTCAAGCCTTTTAGGGGGCGAAGAACACTTTGCACTTGAGAGTAATCCTTCATTAACCAGCACACTTAGGAGTAATCGTCCTTTAACAATACCTATCATATGTCATGTCTCATCGCAGTCATTAGAAAACTCTGCAAGCACTAGTAAAATGGTTTCAAGACAACAAACTCATCATAAACACGAGCAAGACAGTCTCTCTAATCTTTCATGAATCTCGATCTAAACGAAAACTCTCACAGCATTTGCTTCATAACAATAACCTGTAACGAATCTCATGAAACTACCTTTCTCAGGACTAACAATTCAAGAAAACCTAAAATAGGAACACTCACATCTCAAATCTTAACAAGAAGCTTCAGCAAATTGTGCTATGCCTTATACACCCCCAAGGTTCAAGCTCCAACATTGAGACACTTGCGACAATGTATTTATGCCAAATGTCGCACTCACACGCTAAAATATGAATTATATTCTGGGAAATGCCCCTGAAGCAACTACGCACATTCATTATCCAAAAAAGAATTAACTGCCGAACATGACAAGCACTCATAAACTGGAGTCTTGGCAAACCCTTGTTTAATAAACTAAGGATTCTTCCTCTACCATGCATGTACCATATTGAAAATGCGTCGTTCACAAAGAAATTCTCATGGAAAACAAAGACACTTTTACTTAAATTTCTGATGTACATAACTACAACACCGCGGTTAAAAGGATAACCTACCCGTTTCCCACTCGAAAACTACAATTTATTCAAAAAAGTACCCTAATAGAGGGCATTACACTTTACAACAAACTTAGGCAATGATTACAAAGACATTAAACACAATTCATACACATTTAAAAGTAAATTGAAAGCTTTTCCTTGCTTAACAACATGTTCGACAGTTGTAAAGGATTTTCAAATACATTTCCCTTAAAAAAATATAAATAAATAAGAATTTCTTATTCCATAGACTTTTCTGTTTCAATGTCAACTGCTTTCAGCGAAGCATAAAGAAAAAAGAATTGCATATCCACATCCTGTGTGAAATAGAAGAAAAAAATGGTCAAAACCTTGCCCCTCACCATTTCAAGTTATAAATATAGAATGTACTACTATTGTTAAATTTGATGTAGTTGCAAACATAATTGATATGTATTTTAATGTAATTATTATAACTATTATATATATTGATATAATTATTATAAGTAATTATTATACTATGTTTATTAATTTATTATGTAATATATTATATGTAAATTATTATTATAAAGTAGCATTAAAAATTCATATTGAAATGTTAATTATTAGCAGATATTTATCTTACTGTATAATATCTTAATCTAACTGTAACAGTATTATTATTTCTAGGCCAGATACCCCCATTCTTGCATCAGGTTTGTTCAGCTTTCCCTGATCTTTGAGCAAATGCTGAGATGAGCCCCTTGTTTGCTCCTGAACAGTAATATAACTTCGTTCTCTCCACCCAAGTCATCATATTGACTCGTCACTACCACGATTGTAATTGTATATATGTGACTCAATAAAATATTTATTATTATTATTATTATTATTATTATTATTATTATTATTATTAATATTATTAATATTATTATTATTAGTCAGTTGTCAAAAGGACCGCCAGGTAGCATCTCTGCGTCTTGTACAATGCGCTTTTGCGACACTACACAACGGCCAGAGTTGAGAAGGAATTAGGGTAGATGTAGGATTTAGGATACTTCACAGGGGTTGGATTAGCTAAAACAGCCAAACTCGTTTTATTTGAACAAATTTCACATGAGATTGAGGACTGAAGAGCGAACAGGAAGTGTAGAAGGAGCTAATCCATAAAAATATTCATCTCTCATCTCATATATATGTATAATGTGTGTGTATTGAAAATTCATATCTATTATGTTCATGTAAACTCATTTGTAAATTTCAGTTATACTTTTTTTATTGTACTTAAATTTCAATTAGTTTAATTCCAATAGGATGAAATATTTCTGCTTTGTGACAGCCAATTTTTAGTATTATGATTGGTAACATTATTTCACTTTTCATTTACTTGAAGTTCTTTTTGGCACTCTAATATCTGCAGATTGATTATTGTTGAATACTTTAGTGGCAGTGCAACTGAAAAACAACACAGAAGATGACAGCTAAGCAGATAATGTACTTCACTTAAATGATTCACAATATGTCTTATTTGTGATGCAACTGACCTATGTTAATTAAAAATATACTTTGATAAAAATTAACAGAGTAAAGATATACGTACATGAGATTTCTTCCTGTTGTATCCAGGTACTCTTCTATATTATGTGTTCTTAATTTTTCAGTGTGCAGATGAATTGGCAAGAAGCAAGTTCTTTCTCAACCCGATTGCTTCTTGAAAGTCGATGGTCTAGGACCATTTACAGTTACCAGACTGCAGCAATTTTGTTGATGTTGGAAGAAGAACTAAATCCTGAACAAAAGAAAGAAATAGAAACGTTAATGAGGTATTAATAGAGATATCCTGGTCAATTATCTATGTCTCAAAGTTAAAGATGTATGAATTCAATAATAGAGAGATCAAGTAAACGAAATATTTAAACTCTTGGGAGGTGGTCGAGTTTTGGGGAATACAGAAGCACACAAGTGGGCGCGCAGTCGAACACCACGCAAGAACGGTCGCGCGCCCGCTCTCGCGCTCACGCATACGCTCTCTTTCGCATTATCTCTACTTTCGATCTCTCCTCCGTATTTGTTTCTTCTTTCTTTTCCTTCTTCTTTCTTTTTCTTCTTTCTTTTTCTTCTTCTTTCTTTTTCTTCTTCTTTCTTTTTCTTCTTCTTTCTTTTTCTTCTTCTTCTTCTTTCTTTTTCTTCTTCTTTCTTTTTCTTCTTTTTCTTCTTCTTTCTTCTTTCTTTTTCTTCTTCTTTCTTCTTTCTTTTTCTTCTTCTTTCTTCTTTCTTTTTTTCTTCTTCTTCTTCTTTCTTTTTTTCTTCTTCTTCTTTCTTTTTTCTTCATCTTCTTTCTTTTTTCTTCTTCTTCTTTTTTTCTTCTTTCTTCTTCTTCTTTCTTTTTTCTTTTTCTTTTGATTATTATTATTATTATTATTATTATTATTATTATTATTATTATTATTATTATTATCCACAAATTTAATTCAACACAGATATTAACTACAGGAATTGTATGTATTGAGGTTGATGTCAATGCAGGACAGTGTGTACATGGTTTTGATGCAGATCATTAAAGAGTTCATTTCCTGTTTTGGATCAAAAGTTGCATTTTCAACAGAAGTTTTTGCCCGTGTAGCAGTTTGGTTAACTGATGGGAATTCTACTTCATACTTTTTGTTTGTTTTTCTTCTTTCGTAATTGAAGGGTGTAGAAGTTAAAAAAGAAACATATTTTATTGTCTAAGTATGTTTCTCTAATAACAATTTGTTCAGTCTAACAGGGCAGTAGTGTATATTTTCCATGATCATGGCCATTTGATATCTGCTTGTTTTTGATTTTCATCTTGACAAGTGTTAGATAATATATAATTGTATGCTGTTATTGGTTTGCCATCATTGACAAATTCTTCCTGGAAATGTATTTGTATGCAACTTGTCCTCCCCCAAAGCAATAATTGACTGATATCCATAAAATTTAATGGCTACTGAACTCACTTTTCTTTTTTCTGTTAATTTTTGAAACTGTTTCCTCTTAGAATTTCTTACTTTTTTTGCAAATTTTAACTAGATATCAGAAAATGGATTGAATTGACAAGCACAATCAGCAAAATATTTTTCTTGCATTAGTTTGGCAGTCGCATTCCAGTGTGTTTTAACTTCAACCTTTTTATAATTTTTTCCTTTTTTTTTTTTTTGCACATTGACTGCCCAATTCTTTTAATTTTTGCAATCTGGTTTGTGTTATCTTCATTTAATATTTTAAAAATAAAATCTTTCATTATAGAAGTTCATAAACTTCTTCTAAACTTATTACCTGTTCTTCTATTTTCTGGTCTAAGGTCTATCTCTTCCTCCAAGTCTAACCTGTCTCGTCTATCTCTTGTCCATCAAAACTCTTTTCTGTTTTGCTTTTACTATAGAAATGCAATCACTATGCATAAATCATATCAGACCAAAAAAAAAAAAAATCAGTAACAAGATACCAGTAACAACCAAGGAAAAGATGAGAGACAAAAGTGCCTGTTTCAAACCGAAAATCTTTGTGATGAACGTCAGTTTCAAAGGCTTGATTGTTGATAAATTTTGAAATGCTATCGGTAGATAATCTATGAGTGGTATTGTCATTTAGACTCCTGAACTTCAAAACATTGCAGAAACTTTTTTCAACCTTTTTATCATCTTCATTATTGAAGCTGGAGATTTTTTCGTAATGCTTCCCCTTCCCATCTTTTGCATTTGGTTTGGAAAAGAGGTTTTCATGACTGGATGAGTAAATAGTAGCATACAAGGTGGAATATTATAATATAAAATTACCATTAGAAAAAATACAGAAAAATATATGCAGTTTTGGTGCCACTAGTTTGAATACGAGTTTCCTGTATTAATCTTTGAATGTTGAAGAAGTATTTGTATAAAAATGTAATTCATCTACATATCTTTAAATTTCAGAAATGCACCTAACTGGAAACAGCGAATAGCTGGAAAATCTTTGCCCATGGAAAAATTTGCTGTTAAGAAAACAGCACGTTTCTTTGCTCAAGGAAACACACTTGTATTGCCAGCATTTGAACTCTTATATCTATGGAACATGTTTAAAGTTCTTGGCAAGAAGTTTGAAATGGTACAAAATGTTTATAAGGAAATTGAAAGGACACTGAGAAAACTTAATCAAGCAAAAGGTGAGACACATGACTTGTTTTTACAGAATCCTGAGAACTGATCCATTGTTTGTGCAAGACACTACTTGCGTGTGTTTTGGACAAGTATCCAGTCATCTTACAATTTAAAAAATATTAAAGGCAAGTGTGGAGATTTATAGCCAGGATTGAAGAAAAAGTAATTTTTTTTGGTATTACTAGTAGGGCCGGTGCATACATTTTTCACTCTGTAAATCAGTGTTTTAACCTCACAGTGTACACACCATATTTCAAAATCTGGTAGTCACTGTAGACGGAGAGTCTGCTGTAGCCAAATATGGAAAATAGGAAAGTAAATTAGGCATATGAACCTATACACATATGAACATATGAAAACACATAAAAAGATCAGGAAAGTTGCAACTATTTTAATGAAAAAAAATAACAATGATAAATCTTGTAACTCACATAAATGGAGAAGTGCTTGTGTTTATGTACCATGAATTTACAAACATTGAAATTTTAACACATTGAACAAGATTCTAAAATTATAATAAAATGGAACACAATTTATAAGCTACCACATTTCATTCCAATTATGTACTCAAATTACATTCTCCTCATTTCCTAAAAATCCTGAGCAGCTACTGTAAAGCCTGTAGTTTCATGTGATTGAAAGTCTTCAAATACTGATTATTTCAAAGCCACTACACTGATCAAACCAAAACAAAAGAATGGTTTAATCTTTGTAAGAAGTTGCTGAAATGTGTTCTGAGATCAAAGAAAATTTGACAGGGAAAGAGAGAATATATTTGTGCAGACTTAGAGGCATTTCCAATTGGAAAACAAGATATTGAAGAAAATATTGATGTGTGGAACTGAATAGCATATGCATCTAATCGAAGGTTAATCTCCGTTAAGTTTAACTAATCTAAGGTTAATCAGTTCAAGTGTTGTTTACAATGGTGAATTATGGAATATTGATCTTGTGCATTTGGGCTCACACATCTATATTTGTATATGTGGACCACGGCTATTGATAATCCTGAAAATTAGTGAATATAATTCAAGATAGTTTTATATAACACCTAATTGGATATTTGTATGTTTATTCTAGTAAAAACTGAATATGATGCTGACAATAAAGCATTGGTTCTCTTACTGAAGGCAGCTTGTCTTCGGTTGATGAAAAGTCCTCTTCAGGCTCAGGAGTGTCTCATGGAAGTGATAGCTCTGGAGAAGAACATTAAAGAAGATAATTACTTGATACCTTATTCTGTTGTTGAATTAGCAATCCTCAGTGAGCAACAGAATGATCATGTAAAAGCTATGAGTTTATTGGAGGATGCAAAGTAAGTATATCATGTATTCCTAATGTTGACTGGATGTTTTCAAAATTGGCTATCATGCCAATTGGATGCAATATTTTACAGAACAATTTATAATTCACATGTAAAGGATATTATGTTGAAAAATAGAAGCATTTAAAAAATAGTTACAGAGTAATAATATGAATGTACTTTGCAAGTCAAAGTGAGAATAATAAATAAACTAATTTTGGCTAGACAGAAGCTGCTGTCCTTGTTTTTGAAAACCTGAGTTGTAATCTAATCAGTTTTGAATATCATTTTGCAAGACTAATGTTTGAGAAACTCTTACTTGTTCAGGCATGTGTGTAATGTGGCAGTAGCAGTATGTCAAATTCATTTGATAAGTCTTCCATAGCTGTTAAACAAATAAATTAATTAAAGTAATCAATTAAAGTTCGGTGCATTTAATTCTTCTGTCAAGAACTACCATTTTCCTTATTTTGCAGAATTGTCATGTTTCTTCCTGTATTTATAGTGATCAAAATATTACCTAATATTTATTTATGAAAAGTAGTTAAATAAATACCCAGGAAAAGTCAAGTTAATTCATCTCCCCACCTTTGCCTCACCAGATTTCGCTTTCCTTGCCCCATCCTACTCATCTGCTTGATCATTCAGTTCCACTTTGTCCACTCCCATCCTACTTTTGTTCACTCCTGCCCTACAATGCCCTGTTTCCCCACCCCCACCCCTCTCTATTATCTGCTTTTCTTAAAAAAAGAAATTAAATAAAAACACATTGTTTCTTCAGGGAATGAATTTCCCCACCATTCTTACACTCCATTTGCTGTGATTATCATTGCTACCATCATTGTTGATTTAAGCAACTGAAAACATTAGATAGGTTAATGCATTCTCCCAGCAAACAACCAGTAATAAACTTCTATTGATCCCTCCAGGGAATAAATGTGGAAATACCTTTCTTAGTGGTTACATGCATGTAATAGAAACACACATTTCAAATATTTTTGTTTCTACAGTCTCACTTCCTGGTGTTTCAAATTTCTCCCTGCTGTGACAGTATCAGACAGATCTTATTGAAATCTGCTTGCAGAAATTTGCATCTTCAATCCATTCATATTGTATTGGTTTTTATGTGTACTGCTACATTTCAATTTATTCTGATTTCAATTGCTATTGTATATTGTAATTTTTATATTTTGTTCTATTTGAATATGTTGTTGAATTAAGTTCTTTTCTTCACAATTCCCAAATTTACTACTACATATCTCTATGTTCTGTTTTAAATTTTGTGGTTTTTCAAATTAATTGCTCTCTTCATGGGTGAATTTTTCCCTTTTCAGTTTGTCAGGACTTTAGTACATTATCCGAGGAAAAAGTTTAAAGAAAAAAATTGGAGCTCTTTTTAGAATTCTTTTTTTATAAATTGCATTAACTTCGTACAGAAATTAAATGAAGCTTGTTTTTCCAAAAAATTGTACATGCCATTATTTAAAGATCTATTTTTTAAACAGATTTGATTAAGAAAAACGTCTCTATCATGAATTTTGAAGTTTTGCAGTATTAGTTTTTTGCAATTTTTAAATTTACAGGAGAGTTTGCTGAAAATGGGACATGCACTATTTTTTTAAGCATTTTTTGCTCTATGTGAGAAAAAACATTGGAGCCATTTATGAAAAAGTAATTGTTTAAAACTTGCCTATATTTCACAGAGATATACTTGAAAACTACTGATATTTTTGAAAGATTATACATGACAAACCGTTTTGTTAAGGAAAAAATATCTATCGTCAATATGGTAGTTGTTGAGGAAGAGTCTGAAAGAAAGTTTTATATTTTTAGAAATTCATATTTAATGAAAATGAGACTTGCACGTATGACTGTGAAGACTCCTTAATCTTTGCCTGAATTTACCTACTGCCACTAACACCAGATGATATAAAATTACAAATTTCAAATTGTTCTTTAAACTTCATAGTTTTCACATCTATTTTTTTTATTTCAAAACTGCACATGTCAACTGCTCTTTCATTGCAGTTACTGTTCACTTACAGGAATAACTTAATGAAGTTCTTTATTGTTTACATATAAAACCTTTAAATTTTTTTTCTTGTTGCAGGAAAAATTATACAGGGTACTCATTGGAATCTCGATTACATTTCAAAATCCATGCTTTTCAGCTGTATCTAAATGAACAAAAAGGAACAAACTCTCATAATCATGTTCCTGAAACAACTGTTTAGCCATTATATATTGTTTGATTTGATTTTGATCGAGAGATAAAAAACTGAGTAAAAATATAATGTATGTATTAATGATAATTAGTTACAAAAGTATTATTGAGGTTGTTGTATTTTCTTGGATATAATTTGTTTCAAATTTATTCTGCATTAATATTTTGCAGTGGTGTTTTGATCTCCTCAGTGTGTTGTGTATATTGTATTACTCAGTGTGTTGTATATTAGCCTTGTGTATGATTAATTTATGATGTAGACTTAAAGTTCAAATAGTGTGTGACGCATATTTAGATATTTTGTAGTCACTAAAAGGTTCCAATTTTTGTTTTGGAAATGATAGTGAGATGTGCTGGGAATGAAAGCATAATATGCTTACTTACTTCAAGTGTTTGAATAATATTTATCTAAGCGAGTGTGTGCAAGTCCCACTGACTAAAATTGTGTTATTTCTAAAACTTTCTTAAAAACGGCAAGAATACTTACATTTGCTATGTCTTCCTCTTTGTTCTCAAATTTTTTAAAGTAATTGTAAGAGAACAAATTGCAGGACTTAAAACTTACAGGCCCTGAAAATTTAACAGATTAATAGTATTTTCTTAAGATTATTTTAACTTGTCAGTAAATGCACTGCTACATTTCATGCTTAAATTACAGTGCCTTTTCATATTTTTCTAGAAAATGTTAAACATAGTGGCAAGGCCTCATGATAGAATGTTATTAACCTTTATAATTTATGAAGTTACATCTGTCTTGAATTTTAAATGGTGTCATTTGTGTATTATTGTAAATTATTTACATTTATTTATTCTTGATATGTTCATGAAAATTGGCTAGTGGATATAATGTGACACTTCTAGTCAAGGGATTTCAATATTCTTGCCCTTATCAAGAAGTCACTGTATTATCACTCGTGTGCATATTTTAAGTTACAAGATGGTGGGAAAAAGAAATACAATTTCTAATTATCCAATATATGTGGATAGGGCTAATGTGTTCTTTGCAATTATTTATTACTCTGTTGTATCAAGATCAGATGTCCTTGTAATTTATAAAGGTGTAATAAAATGTTTATTTATGATTACTGTTAAAAAATGTAAAACTATCTGGGCTGTAAGAAAAAATTGAATCAGAAAATTATTCTACAATTACTGTTTAAGTGTGTGATTCTGTGAAAATCTAAGGACTTTTTTAAGCATTTCTATAAGCCTGTATTCCATGAAAATGGTTCAGCCTTTTAATAGGGAATAGTTACCTTGTATGAGAAACACTTCCTTAAATTCGAGAGCATTATTTATGCATTTTCTTTTGATATAGGGGCCTTCCATAAATTATGTAATGCAAATTTGAAGTATTTTCAGTACCCCCTATCTCCCTTGTAATGCACCCATAACATATTCATGAACCTCCTCCCTTGTAAATGCAAGAAGGGAAAATAAATTATAGCACAGTAAAAACAATTTGTATTTATTTTACTTGTGTTGTATATTGAAGTAATTAATGATAATTAAAGTAGGAATTAGTTGGCGATGCTGGCTGCACCTAACAATAAGATTGGGGCAGTTGTGAGTGAAGGAAGAATGCTTGGGCGAGAAAGGATTGATCACAAGCTATGCACACGCCGTCACAGATGAAGCAAGGGCAAAAGTCTTCAGTGCCAATTTAAATGGATTCTAGAATACACTTCATATCAGTTTTGAATATTTTCTTTGTAATCTTACAGATTAAAGCAAATGTTGAAAAAAATGTCTATTGTAACAATTTACAACTAATAACATTAATTTATTTATGATTTTAAAACAAATTAATTAGTTCATATTTTAATGCTTTAGTACAGAACTCAAAAAAAGGAATTATTGTAGCAAATGTTGAAAATGTTAAAAAGTAAATATCGATGTTATGTAACACTTAAATAATACCCCCTACCTCTACGTAACGCAACATAATGCTGCCTCAGACCCCCTCCTCCCCTCTTTGGCATTAAGTAATTTATGGACGACCCCTTATGTGTTTTTCTTGTTGCCTGATGTGTTCATTGCACAGTAAAGTGTGTGGCAACATTAGCCTATAATGTAAGTGTTGATATGTAAGAAAATTAGTAGAGATATCAAGTGGTTTGCCATGGTTGTTTAGAAATGTAAATTTAATGGTCTTTTTTTTCTGATCAGCTTTGTTGGTTCTTGTTTTAGCTCTTTGCATAGATCTACAGAATCTACTTAAAAATAGATATCTCTGGATACTGAATAGTAAACACAACTTCTGGTTGCCAAAACAGTGTAGAGGAAATCAACTGATAAAGATGAATAGTATGTCTTTATCAGGGGCACCTGGCACTCGGAGAAAACAGAGGCCTGGGGCACCAGATCTACGGGGTCCCTTTATTTCCAACAAAAGTTCTGCCCATACCTCCTCATATGAAAACAATTAATTTCTCCATGCAACAGGAGTAACTAAATACAGCTGTTAATTTGAATTCATTGTAAATATATTCTTTTTTTGTTTTGAATGATAAAACTTTCGGGACCCCAATTGAGTCAGGGCCTGGGGCAAGCTGCCCCAGCTGCTGCTCTTTCTGGACATTCCTGCTAATTGGCATATCAATAGAAAAGTGACCTATTGCAAACTGCTGTGATTATTTTCGCTATTTTTCTGGAAAATTGTGAAATATTGTATATTCAGTGTTCAGGAGTTTGTGTGTGTATGTACATCTGCAAATTAGAGACATGTATTTCTCTACATGTTAGGTTATTGTCATAAAGTTGGAGGAGTAGAAACTACTGTAGTGGTCAAAAGATGACTACTAAATTGAATTTGGACAAGAGAATTATACCATGTCCAAAGTGCTGATACCTTTGTGCACATTGTTGCGGTGCTGCCTTTTTTTCTTCTTTTTCTTCCCTTTCCCATACACCATCTGCCCCAAATCAGTAGTGTTTTTATGTCTGGACTAAGTAGGCAACTGACTTTATGGTAAATTTTTTGTCAAGGAAAATAAAAAAGTGTTGAAAACCTTTGCATCTCAAAGATGTGCACAAGTTAGATTTTTTAAATTTTTTGACTTATACATAATCCTGTAGGGTCTTTCTCTCTTTATACTAATTCTGGATTGGAGGTCCACAAAGGAATAGCAAATCTATACCTGCCTACAGATGACAAAAAAAAAAAAGAAAATAAAAATGCCTCTGCACAAGGTAAATAAAGTACCAGAAAATTTGTAATAATCATTTTCATTTTGTGAAGGAGTTTCTGAACCAGTGATTCAAACCAGAATTATATGCTTTGAAAGTTTTCAATTCAGTGTAAGTGAACACCAAACTATGTATTCGACCTTCATCTGCTTTTTTTGTAATTTCTATTGAAGATAGAAAAATGTTATTCTTAATTGTAATTAAGACTTAAATTATCAAGGAAAGTTCACTGTGGCATTGTTTTATCCCTTTCTCATTTTTTACCTTCCTGAGACACCATACCTTAGTTGATTTCAAATCGTCATTTATATTGTAGCTTTTAATGTTGACAAAAACTTAAATGTAAGCTGTGTTGATGATACATTTCTCTATATTTTTGGTTTAAAATAATTCTAATCTTAGTAGGCTAAATTACGTAGTTCTGTTCTATATGACAAAAATGAACATTTTTCTTTTCCTGTGAGGAGAGAGAGAGTGAGCGCTTTTTTTCCTTCTTATTGGAAATGTTAGTATACCTCATCAGAACTTCACAGCTTGTCATTGTAATATTTCTATTATTCACATTCATATTAAGCAAAACATTGTAGACTTATTACTGTAGAAAGGGCATTAATAAAAAAAATCTTATTAAAGAAAATAGGTTAACATTCAATTGTAAATTATTCTTTGGGCCACTATAACATTTTTTAATCAAGAGTAGAAAATCTTTACCATCGTTGCCATAAATACATACATTCATATGCACACCTCATGGGGTGCATATGCGAAACTTATCAAATCCAGTTATTTAAATAAAAAAAGTTATTGATGGCGCTGCCCTATTTCTGGCCTCTACTGTCAAGATGCTATATTACTTTTGTGCAAACTACTATTTTTTCTTCCTAATTTGAATAATGAAAATAGTTCCAAAACTCAGTAAATCCTAACTTTTTTGCAAACAGAAGTTCTTTAATCCTTGTGCGTATAAAATTATTGCAACCCTATTTTGTAAATTCAATCTGGGAATTTATAATTGGGCAGGAAATAACAAGAAGGAAAAAGAAATGTTAACCAAAGGAAAGTAAGAAATTTCAGTAATAATTGAATTACATTTGGTAAAAATCGTTTCTTTATTTGGCAATGTGTCCTGATTGACAAACTTGATCTCTTCCTATGGTGCTTTAATTCTTAGTGTTTGAATTTTAATGTTCAATAATTCAATGAGACTTCAGACAGTAATTAATCAATTCAATTATTGTATTTTGTTATACTTACAGTTCAAAATTGCAAAATTGCAAAATTTTCAGGAACTTCATTGAACATTTGATCAAACATTCAATAAAATAAATCAAGTTTAGTTAGTTTTGAAGCATGTGTCAGATGGTACCTCTGCATAGACAGTCAGTTAATCCCAAACAGTCCAGAAAAATATCTATTATTATATTTTTTTAGCATCAAACATGGGGACAAACAAATGGGATGGCTCAAGGCTTTGGATAAATGTTTACATCTTTATAGTGAATTTTTAAGTACATTCCAAGTAGGGCAAAGAGCACTTGCTGATATCTTTCAAGTACTAGTTAATCTGTGAGAAAATTGCAGAGAGCGTATGTGCCATTAGAAAATACTATTACTTCAGAGATTTTTATATATGAGTTTCTATATCTCTATCATTGGAGTTTTAAACTCCAATGCTTGCTCAAAATGCGTTTTCTTCAAAAACTATTTGTCATGTTTAGAAACAGCACTTGGAAATTGAAAATTTAAAATGAAAATTACCATCACAAAATTATTTTTGGGAGTTATGCTCTTAAATATTGAGGGTATTTTCTTTCATATTCCTCTATTTTTCTTTTTGAATGCAATTAATGAGTGCAAGTTTTTTTTTTTTTCATTATTATCAAAACTGAGTTTAATATTTTATTTAATTAAAAGATGGGAATTGATTTCTTTTTAAGCTAAAAGCTGTGTTAACAAATGTTATTTTAGAAAATGAAGTAGTATTTGCCAAAAAAAAGTATGGGCCCTAGTGTGATTCTGCATATAATCATATGCAAGCAGTCATTTGATGGACATCAGGAAGTGCATAAAGATGCCTTTACCAAAAAATGGTTCATCTGCAGAAAACATTCCTGTGTGCGGAATTTTCACTGAGACCTTTGTCTTGAGATTTTACAAAAAGGATACACAGTTCAGATTGAAATCACTTGTGCATTCAAAAATTTTAGAGGTCAAAGGTAACGAAAAATCATTTATATCCCTCTTTCCGTACATTTTCCGCGGAATAACATAAGATTTGTAGTTAATAAAATTTCCCCAAAAATTGGTTCTGAACATTTCTTACGACTAACGGTTTTCGAAATATTTAATCTTACAAATCACAACAAAAAAATAACGTAAATATCTCAACTTTTATGCGTTGTACGTCAAATTGGATTCTCATTGAATGTACATTACAGAAAATTCCCCATATAACTGCTTATTGTTTCTCGTTTGACGATATTCCGCAGATGAGTGACGATGGATTTTGCATAGGATTGAGTATTTAATAGAGGTGATCAACTAATAAAGAAATATTAATGTAAAATTGCGCAAAATAATTATTCATATAAGATTTTTCATTGATGCATTTTGTTAATAGCTAATAATAACACTGAAACGTTTCGTTTTATACTACAGAAGCGTATAAAGATCGCCGTTTAGAGAACGTGGAGTGGAGTTAACTAAAGTGCATGCTGTAAATTAAATTAAAGTGGTGATACTCAAATCACCTACTTTATTGCAATTGTTCTAACTAAAGCAATTTTCGGAAATTCAGAGTTCAACGAAAATGAGACCTGCGCCGTTTCTAGGCGTCCTTTGCTCTATACGAGGGAAAAATTCAATCGTTCAATTTGGGTCCCCAAATTCAAAACGAAATAATGTCATTTATCTACAATTGTGTCTGATAAAATCATAGAAGTAATACATGAAACGCGTTTTTTTCTATCATAATGAACACAATGCAAGACATATCAAACGTCGACCAATTAAGTTAAACGTTACATGTAACCATCGGGAAAAATGTAGGCGGCAAACTGATAAACATAAAAAACTAATGAATCTTCCGTAGGGTATAAGAAAGTCGAAGATCAATCAGCCCAAAAGTTGCATTTTGATATTGTCGAGAGTATAAAATAACAAGAAATTTGTTTATCTAAATGTAGAGGACAAGAATATGGTGGTGCAGAAGATATGAACGAAATTGACAATGTTATTCAGAAAAATAAAATAAAAATAGATGAAGTTGATAATGTATTGTTTGTGCATTGTGCTACTCATAATTTAAATCCTGTGCTTAATGATTCCATGAATGGGGCATTAGTTCAGACATTCTACAGTTCGCTGAAACGAATTTGTTTTCTTTGGCCATAGCATTAATCGGAGGAAAATATTATCAGTGATGATTTTATATAAAAAGAGAAATAATCTTACATGAAAACGAGTATGTCCTACCTAATTTCATCGTTCGAAACAGGTATGAAAAAAGAGCTTGATGGTCATCATGGATCGATTTCTTTGTAGCTATAACATCAGAGAAGCAGAAAAACGTGGTTAAAAATACTCTTGAATCTCCCGGTCAGAGGCATTGCAGTGACATCAATTGATGCCCTGAGTCACTTCAGTCTTTCGAGTTAACACGCCAGGAACATTACCTCTAAACCACTAGTCGCGCGGTTAAAATCTACTTTCTAGACACCTAAACAACTTGTGTATTTTTCCTGTTCTGTTACAATTCGTTCTATCACATAGCCACCTACTGGCATCAAATGTTTGGAGTAATCCTCTTTTAATATAGTCATCCATCATCACTCGTAGTCAGACCCTTTTTATCCCTTCGGACAGGGGTCGGCTCAGTTAGATCCATGTGTTCCCAGACGGTCACTCAACCAGGAACCCGCGATGTCTGGAATTGCTTAACCTCCGTTACATCACAGATCGTAGATAAGGAATTCGATTAGAAAGGCCGTTATTTTTAAACTTTGCTCCATCCTTGAAAAAAAAGGGGGCATTTTTGAGAAAATACATATTTACAAATTGCGTCATCTTCATAAAAAAATTGGCGAAAACTGCGCGTTTTTGTCAAAAAATTGTGCAATACCATTCGCAAAGATCTGATTTTTAGAACAGATTTCATCAACAAAAAAATCTGTTTCGTTAAAGTTCTAATAATTTTTTTTTTTTTTTTGCATTCGAGAATACAAAAAGTTCACCAAAAAAAGGACCTACGCCATTTTTTTGTCTCCTTTGCTACATTTTAGGGGCGCGGAAATGGAGCAGTTTTGAGATGATAATTGTTTAAAATTTGCTTATATTTAATTCTAAATTACGGGAAAACGATTCACTTTATCGAAAAATCGTACATGACCTTATTTCAAGATCTATCTTGGAACAACAGAATTCATTAAGAAAAAAATCTCTATCTTCAATATAGTTGTAGAATCACACAGAACAAATGTTGAACTTTTGCAATTTTGCAAAATTCAGGTATCAACGAAAATTATACCTACGCCATTTTAAGTATTATGAAAATGTTGAGGCTTCATGAAAAATACCAAAAAATCAAAACCCTCCGTTTCAAACTCGACTCGAAAAGTATTCTTGCAGGGTTCATGCATGTAAAAACCAATAGATTCCCGAGGCCATGCACACGCTTTGGTTTGGTCCAGCGAGTGTATATAACTGAAAATACAACATCTCTGGAAAATACTTGCGGTGACGTTCGTGACGTTTGCGGGTGGGGAGTGGAGCAAAGTGGAGTGGTATGGGTGCGGGAGCATGCAGGAGTGTTGTGGGTTGCTAACTGGCCGATCTTCGACACGAGATTTCTAAGTTAGTATGGTGTATGAAAAATCAGTTTTACAATGTAAGCTGTATTTTTTGGTGAAAAAATGGAATATGAGACTTCGAAAGACCTTGTCTTATTAGTTTCAAAGTGTATTCGTCTTTGGTGTCCACCTGCACGAAGTTAGAATGAACAGGTTTTCCCTGGTGCTGATGGCCTACATTAGGTTGTGATTAGTGGGCGGCGTCACATGCGTAAACTAACTTTCAGGAGCACGATATTTTCATGTCGGTACAGTGTTTTGTGATTTTATGTCAAAATTACATTTTCAAAAAACGCCACAAACTGCATGTCAAAATAATGAGATCATGTAATGTCATGTTTTCTGAGTTTCTCCTGTGCATAAATGGAAATGTTTCTTGACCATAAAGAAGTACAGAATATGATTGAATTGTTACATTGGTCATGGACTGTTTGTCAAATTTGGTTTGATAAATGAAGTTGAAAGTCCACATGTTTTTGTTTTCAAGTTTAATTCATTTTCTTTCATGGATCTATTGTTCAAAGTTGTGATATGTAATTTCAAGTCCATCTCTTGTAAAGTGTGCTTTTTAAAGATTCTTTCTTCCTGTTGATCACTGTTGACAGAAAAAGTCAGGATATTGATCATGCTATTTCATGGTTCTGTGAGCAAAAGACTTCTAATAAAACCTACAGTCAAAATTAAATGTTTTAATTTTTAATATAAGTAGCTAAATAAATAATTTAATTTATGATTTATATTAGAAAGAAGACGTTGGAAACAAATATAAGGATATGT